ATAGCTCACCTAAAGCACACGGTGATTTCTGGTGGTGACTCAATGACCATGCTGCGTCGCCCACTTTCAATATATCGCCCAAGCGCAAATGTATTTGTTTCGAGGTTTTAAGTGCGTGCTGGCGTATCGTCACAATGAGTTGGAGGACTAGAGACCACGTATCTGTCACTAATCAATTCTTCGCGATTGGCTGATGAACTTAAAAGCAGTGAGAACTTTTAGGGCTTTCAGAGAGGATGTGCAAATAATTAGCCTATTTCTTGTGTAGCTCGATATTAGTGTAAACGTAAGTTACAGTCTTTTATTCAAACGCCCATGGCTTAATGGACCCAATCTATGACACATGCGCCATCTTAGCTTGAAGAGCAAGTGTTGACGACTAGCGCCGTGTGATATTAGTGTTGGTACGACGGGGCTCACTCGCTTTGATGCTGTAAAAGCGCTAAAGACATGTTGTGTATTTTTGTCTATCGCTCTTCCCACACAAGAAATCTAGGTCCTAAACTACTAAAAGGGCCGCAGCTAGCTCCCTGCGCCAATATATGATACTACCACGCCCGCGTATTATACACTCATATACCAGTGGAATGAAGTTCCTTATCGGCAATAAATGATCTGGGTAGAATGAGATTCATCTCAAGTTATCCTTAATTAAACTCTAGTAAATGAATAAATTAATAAGTCTGTTGGAATAGCCAAACTGGAATGGATCAAGAGGGTGTATTGTGCACTCCCTAGTGAATCATGAGTGGGAAACCTTTTATTGAAAGAAAAATCAAACAAGGTCGTAAAGATATAAAATTTAAATATAAGTCGTCTGATATAGCTGTAAGCTGATAAAGGACTTTAATGGATTAAAACATTAAGAAGATGCCTTGTTACTCCATTGGCTGTACGGAGCAGCTCTATGAACGTGCCACAAAACAGACGAATCATTAGTAGGATTGCGACAGTGACTCATCGATATGGAGGAGATTCATTTGAGGATAGAAACGATTCTATAAGTTAACCCAACCAATCGGTAGCTAATATATGTCTACCATTAGAGTTAGTATTTGTCCACAATCGAGACGCAAACTGGTAGGTAAATGTAACAGTAGCTAATCCGAGAAATTCACCCCAGTTATGGGGCAAATTCACCATAGAAAATATACCATTGAAGTAATCATGATTAGAAATATACTCTCCGGTTATCGTCATTCTATTACGTGATGATCAAATTATCATAAATTTACAGTGATGAAGCCTATAGCCTCCTTGGCTTTTTACCGGACTCACAAATCTTGAGGCTGATCGATTGATGCCATGAAGATGCTAGAGAGGATGGCAAAACTTGGAAACCTCTTCTATAGATGAGATTTCAAATAAACAATAGACCTAACCAGAGGTATAGTCGTATTCTTGGTGTAGCCATGTCTCGTCTGGCTCCTCTATGACGACTTTTAATGGTATAAATATGCCTAAGGTCTTGCTCTGTTATGATGAAAATAGTCTGGGTGGGCCCCAATTTTCATTGGACCTCCGCAGAATTTTATCCTTCTGGGCTTACCATATATCGCATATATTCTGCTACTTCATAAAAATTAATGACTAGCCTCAAGAATCAAGCCGAGGAAGTACCAAGCTACGTACACTGCTCGGCACCCGGTGGCATGAAGTGCGGAATACTTTGAAATGAAAGCGGATCCCCTCATTTCTCCCACGCTGAATCTCGTTTGTGAGAAGCTTTATTAGCAAAGATGCTGACCACGACGGATTGTTGAAACTCACATGACCGAAAGGCGCCGAGGAGGGATGGAATAGCGTAGGAAGGATGAGGATGATGATGTTCTCCATGGCTTGGCCTTGCTCTATTGATAATGTGGTGCCGTGCTGCCTGCATGAAAAAGTGGAGCGATAGTCGCTAGTTTGGAAGCTTGCAAATGACACGGCACCTACCCGTGGAACATAAATAGAGTGGGGACTAGGGGCTCTGTCAACCGACGTCTATTAATAGGGATTAACGGGGGAACTAACACTAACTTAATACATGGCCCAAACTGGAGATTCCCCAAAACTACTACACCGCATCCCCATCGTATCTACACGTTTCCAGCTTCGAAAGAAAGCCAAGAAATTGAAGCATGAGTTGCGGAGCCTTGGTAGCTTGGTAGCAGCGGGCAAATTCTTCACAACTGATAAGTCGACGACTTTCGAGGAAGATTTCCCCGATATATCATACTTACCAAGTAGACCCTTGACACTGTCCAACATGACTGACATTTGTGACAAGCTGACTTTGCAGGGAACTCGATTCAGATTAGCTTAGTGTAGGATGTCAGACATGATCAGCAGATGAGCTTTATCTTGCTCTTACGTCCAGGTTTATACAGATTGTGTATGCTATCTCTACCCATGCAACATGTGGAGCTTATTTCGCGTGTAAGTTATTCTCCGAGACCACATATTCATGTCGGTAAAAGTGCTCTCTTGATGGGTCGGCAAGTTAACTAGCTTCATACAATAACAGAATCACGCAGAATATGGGGGTGGATTGCATATGCATAGTCTAGGCGAATATTTGATCCAATACATGCATATCTCAACAAGGTTTGCCGGGCTATAAAAGGCACGGCCATAGCGGCGGTCATTAAGTGCATACCCTTGGTAGTATTAGTGGAGAAGAACGGTAAAATAGAAATGGTGCCGTTAAAATAATAGATGGGAGACACGGATAAGCTTTACGGGTTATGAGCTGAGGATAAAGGTCTCGGATTTCACAAATCATAGTACTGAAGTAGCATCGGCGCCACCTGAGGCCCGTCTAGACGAAGCACCAACACCAACGCCGACGTCGACGGGGTTGACTTAGTCATCAATCCTCCAATTCGATATCCACAAAATTCCTATTTGAAATGACGATTACTGAGAGGTGCCGAAGTCGAGATTTCTTACCTGTTTCCAGAAAAACTGTTAATTAATGGAAGAGATAACCAAGTGGTCTGTTAGCATTTCCCTCTGGCCCAAACTTTTCACCGTAGAAATACTCCGCTCTTAAGAGATGGCGTATTTAAGCTTGTAACGAGACATGGTCGCTCATGAACAAAAATATTAACAGGCGCGCTTAGCTATCAGGATGCATTCTCACCCAATCCTTGCCGTCCCCAGTGCTGCAGCGACCAATCGTGAGGTTTTCCTTTTTGTATGTACTGAATGATAGCTACTGATGGTAGCGCAGTGTGTTTACATTGAGAAATTTGCTCATCGGACTACCTAAAATAATAGCTATGTATTATTATGCGCTCATGAAGGGTTAGATAAGATTAAAATGGACTGGGCTCCAAGAACGAATGGATAATAATTGTAGGTGTGTCGTATGATCAGTGGAGACTGGTATTCTGAGAGCGTCGCTTGTTATGAGAGTTTTTGGAGCATGTAATATTTAAATCAAGCATCATGACCCATATGGCTCCTAACTTCCTTCCCAGCTAGCCCTGCAAGCTCTCATTACCAAGTTAATGCCACTCGTGTTATAATAACAAAATTCGACTTATTCAATGAAGGTAAAAATATAAAAGAAGCGAAAGTTCTCGGCAACGACCTGGTCACTTGGAACTCAATATCGGATAGCAAAGCCTTAGTCTACTCTAGTAATTTCAGCTAGTCATCTAAATTACTTCTTAGATTCGTCGCGCCGAAACTCATGATATTTATCATTACTTCCGACCTGACCCTGTAAGATACCGTATTGAGAGACAAGAGTCTACGACCAGTGAAACACACTTGGCCTCTTTTTAGGTTGTTTCTTTGTCGGGCTATGGTCATTCGCGGTGCGGTACAAGGTTGAATCATGGGCACTGGCTTCCTCGTTAGATAAGAGACTATTAGAGAAAATCTATCTGATCTTACTTGTCACAAGGGGAAACATACGTAGGTGCTGAGTCTAGTCCCTAATTGGCATAATTAAGCCTAGATTTCTCAATTTATCTTTCGAAATCTCAAATCGAGATTCCAGTGTCACAATTCTTCCGAGCTTGCTAAATCTTTAAGCCCGCAACTAGCACTCCAGACTTCTTCAATTGACTAGGCCTATGCTTGCAGCGGACTGAGTCAAATTCTTCCAAGTCATAGGCTATCGCCACACGAGGCACTTCCCCAATCTGCATAGACAATCTCCGCAAGGTACCTATTTTGAGTATCAACAACCCAATTTAGAGACGCGACACGTTAAAGACAACGACATTTTATCCATCTAAACAATACACTTTGCCATGCTCAGATGTGATGATAGCAGTCGTCTGAAAGCTACCGAGGCAGATTTCCATCTCCTAAAAATATCATCCCTTTTTCCAGCCCTCAACAGCGGCTTCTAGGAAGATGCGCAATAGTGTGAGAACAAAGTGGCCTTGTCGGGTATTGAATTCCCCAAATGAGATCGACCGCCACCGTGCCCAACCCTCACGAAGTTCGAACGCTTGAAATTACGCTGTTCAGAGGACTCGTAGCCCAGTGCAGGCCGGTAAGCAATTGTCTTGATGGGCGCGAATATGGCCATAGACCCACACACTGATATTTTTACAGGGAATAAGTGTCCTGGATCATCTAATGCATGCCACCATGACAATACCCTGCAATTTTGTGTCAGAGGCCTATACTTTGACAACCTAACCGACAATTTTTGGTATCCTTGATAACTTGATGCATGTTCGAGGACCAGGGGGGCCAGTTACACGCAAATTAAGTGCTTGCGACTCGCGCAGTGGATCAACAATTGCCCTCTTGGATGAATGGCCCATGACACCTTCATTTCCTCAAATTACTGTGCTAAGGAATGACCGGGTCTCATCCCTCTCCCCGGTGTGAATTAGATTCAACAGAGAATGTTTGGTATATATGCTAGATGTCTCCAGCTCGTCATCTTCCACTTGCCCACTACCATCCATCTTCATCATCTTTGACTACACGTATTATTCAATACATTACGTTCTTTAGACCTTTCCTTATCTATTACATTCCTAAAAATGCGTTACTACACAACTTTAGGCGCTGCCGCTTTGGCATTCGTCACAACTGTAACAGCACAAGTTCCAGGCTTTAATGCCATCACATCACCTTCTAAGGATCAAAAAATCGTAGCGGGTAAGGACTTCGACGTGATATGGCAACATGGTGGTGCACCAGATGATGCGACCGTCACTATCAAATTGCTTCAGGGAAAGACACCTTCAACACTAGATATTGGACCAACCGTCGCATGTAAGTACCCTACAACCTTGTTTCCCATCGAGTGCCTTGAGCTAACTCTCACAGCCAATATACCGTCGAAGTCTCAAAAATTTACATGGAGGGTTCCACAAGACCTTGGTCAGCACGAAACATACGGTTTCTCTATGGTACTAGACGGAAACGAACAGATTTTTCAGTATTCAAATCCCTTCCACATATCCAAGAGTAATGTAGATAAAGGCGAAGGCAATGATGGAGCTGAGGATGCCGATAACCAGGACCAACAGCCTTCCGAAGTCCCCAATGACGACGATGATGACGACGATGATGATGATGACGACGATGAAGACCTTAACGGTGAAGATAAACCTGAGCTTCAAAATGATAAAGTTCAGGGTGAAGTAAAAGCTGATATTAAAGACAACGTTCAAGCTGAGCCGATTAAGAAGCCAGTTGAGAATATCCAAGCAGAACAGATTATTAAGCCGGCTGAGATCGATGATAATGAAATCGACGGCAAATTTGATGAGCAAGCTGAGAAAATTGAATGGCAGTCTGAGAAACTTGAAGAGCAGGCTGAGAAACTCGAAGAGCAGCCTGAGAAACTTGAAGGGCAGTCTGAGAAACTTGAAGATGAGGCTGAGAAACTTGAAGAGCAGCTTGAGAAACTTGAAGATGAGGCTGAAGATAACATCGAAGGCGAGATCAAGAAAGAGGACACAAGCGTTGAAAAACTTGACGGATCTAATGAGGATGACGATGACGATGATGATGACGAAGACGATGAGGATGATGAGGACGATGAAGACTCCGCATCAGCCCCAATTGCCAACCCACCTGGAACCAAGACCTCTTTGAAAGCTCCCCTCAATGGATATCAATTCCTAAACAACACTGGAGGGAACACTTACGTCATCAAACCATCTGCCTCGGCTCCACCCGCCGCTATCATCACCTCAACTGGTGTCGTCGCTCAACCCGGATCAAAAACCTCAGCCCCCAAGCCCTATGTAGAAGGTGGTGCCTCGGGCATTGTCATCAGCGGGACAACCCTATTTACTTGCTTCGCATTGGCCTTTGCGATGGTCTTCTGAGAACATCTCGTTCTAGACTATAATTGGTTGCATCCCTACAGCAAGATCACTTGTCGAAGAAATAACGTTCCAGTTTGCCAAATAGTCTAATAATTGTATTCCCATTATAGCCCCTGAAACTAATTTATTTTTTATCAATCTAAACTACCAAACTAACCTCGACCCTGCCTCTAATGGGCTTTACAACATGGTAATAAGATGATATGGATAGATGTTGGATGGAGCCTTGACATTGATTTTAAAATTACCTGTATTATAGTGTTTCTCAATTATTAAATTAAGTTGAAACATAGTCATGTGTTTGTTGCTGTCACGAGATGGTAGTCTCAATTGATCCCCTCTCGCATCTGGCCGATCTAAGATCTAGCGTTCGAGGATGATCAGACCTATCCCTGCTAACAAGATCATTACATCCGAGTTCGAGTGAGGAAAGGGATAAGTAGCTCCGGGTTTGAGTTCTTGCATATGCGAACTGTTGACTTCCCTCCAGGCCGGAATGTATGTACAGTGAGCGCCGCGCATGATAATACCACTAGCCTTCCACCCTTTCTCACCAAAGGGCTGAGAAGGAGTCATAACACTAATGCAACAAAGAATAGAATAGAATTTATGTCCCTACTGAGTCTATGACTATGAAGGACAACGCAACAAAGATAAGCTGGGTAAAACTAACGAGAAATTGTCTTAAGTGGTCTGAATAGCGATATAGTATACCTCGCAGCTTGTTATCTCCTCTGGTTTAGGTTGAATAGCCTGGGCACCTACTACACTTTGGAAGGAGACACCTAGTATCACATTTAATTGGGAAAAAGTCGGTGGATAATGAAGGCATGTCTGGATAACTCAGGGTTCCTTGAGACGTTTCACTGAGAGGATGTTCACGAGGCACGGGCCTAAGTATCGATGCTTGAGCGATGAGAGGTACAAAAGTAGTTTATAATGTTCTCTATGGCTAACTGTCAAAGGATAACTTCTGCTGTATTTACATTTCTTAAAACATCTCTTAGAATTTATAATAATTGGGGCTATCAAGTAGGCCACGTTGTTGATACAAACGTGACTGCAAATTCTGTACTTAACTTCACTTGGTAGTTATTTGAATCAATGCGCGCCGGCAAGTCGAATTCTTCACCTTCCAGTGGTGCAGGTGTAATCGCTCAGTATTTTTTATTTTTTTTGCATCAGATTTTAATTGCGTATGCAGCTATCTAGCTATGACACAATTTCAAAGAAAAGTACAGATTAGATGATTCAACGTAAAGGAAGAGCACTCATGCCTCAGATTTCATTTGCAATTACCACTGCGAAGTTATGGCGGCTTTTTCTTCACTCCAAGTTAACCCTCATCCGTGAATACCCACCCAGGGGAACGTCTCATGAACCCTGAGTTATCCAGACATGCCTCCATCATCTTTCAACTTTTCTCCGCGCGAAATATGGTCTGAGATATCTCCTTCCCAAATGGACTAGGTGCCCAGGCTACTCAAACTATACCGGAGAGCACCACCAGGTGGCGGACCACAACACCTTCCATCGTTGGCTTGTCTTTATAGTGTGAGCTGCACTCTCGCAAGCGAAGTCTTGGCGCGCACAAAGCCCAATTCGAAAAACTCCTTGCCAAAATTCGGAATCTCATGCCCTTAGAAGTTATATCCTTCCTCTGTATCATCTTGTCAACTTGTCCTAATACCTCTCACGTCCATCCCAAAGAACTGTCTCCCAGATTTGTGCGCCACGCTTTGCTTCCTCCGTCGGGTATAAATATCGGCGTGGGCGTGTATTTGGTGACCAGCTGAGGCCAGAGAAGGTCGAAGAGTGGTGTGGTCATTGGAATGAGGATGTACTTGGTCGTACTTGTAGACTCGATGAGACGAAGATAAGAGTCAAACTCGTTGGGAGCGAAATAACGAAGTGGATGAGTAATTTGGATTTTTGCCTCGTGGGCCAACTTCTTTGATATTGCGAAATTTGACTGAACTTGGCTCTGAGAGAATATTTCACTCCCAGGTTCGTAGAGGACACCGCGTACAGGTGTTCAGTCTTGCCCTCCGATCCTAGCGTTAATAGATACCATTAGGAATCTATTGGGAAATACTATGTCATACCAATGAGTGATGATTTAGGTCAATCATATTCCATGGCGCATGTGCACATTATTCTAATGTGAACAGTTTATTGTCATGCAGTCATGTTACTCCCTTAATTACAACAGAGGACACCGCGTACAAGTGTTCAGTCTTACCCTCCGTTACATATTGGCTATGCAGGTATGAATTAACCACACATACTACATAAGTTAGACATACTGTGATGGTTAAATAAAAGGAATAAACCCTACCATGGAGGGAGCCAAATTAGCCGGGATAAATTTTCATATTCAATAACAAACCTGGACAGCGATGTACCTCAATACTTCTCCATTTGAAGAGAGAATAATGGCAGTGGATTAGGCTGTAAATAAGGGTCTTTTCGATGTTGCTCGGAGGGCGATTTAATTAACGGTTTTCGAGTAGCCTGACCCAAGGAAATATACTTTTGCTACACCATTGCCGATTTTAAAATTGCAATTGCATAAGAATCAATGAAACATAAAACTTGCAGCTATAGGAGCTGCTTTCAAAGGTAGAGTAGCACATCAATGCTACTTACGCTACCCACCGAATCCGAAGCAAACACACTGACTTATAAATACAGTGGGTATCTTAGAGAGACACGACGCTAAATATGGCTCTATTCACGAAATTTAAAATTATGATGCAAGTTTCACCTTTTGGGGGGTTTGAAATCTTATTGTGGACAAAATTTGAGGGGGGAAGAAATGACAACGACGCTGAAATTATCGAGGAGATTATGTTGACAACTGGGACTAAGATTTCCGGCCTTGTTGATAAAAAGAATCAAAAAGCTCTATAATGGAAAGGAACCAAATTAGTTTAAAATCGTCCACAAGTAAGGATCAATTGTGATTAGCCTTCCAACGGAAGCAATGAAAACGCAAGTAGTTTGATACGGAATTGTGATCAATGTTATGCTATAAACCGTTCATGCGGTGATAACTACGAGCCTGGCCCATGCATTGTTTTAAATGCAACCAGAAGAGATGCACGCAGGTTTCTTATGGAAAAGATGGCCGGTTTGGTGGTTCTACAGGCACTCGCCAAGCGCAGAGCTATCCCTATAAAAGCATTTCTTGCTCTAACTGAATCAAAAGGCATTGATTTTGGCAGAATAATTCATATTAGAAATATCTTTTCTATATGGAGGGTGTGTAGAAAGCTCGAGTGAAGCTGCTGTGTCGTATAGCATATAAAAATATGGAAAAACTAACTGAACCAACATCAAGAACAGTTGGATCTACTGATGAACAATATTCCAATTAAACCTCCACAAAGAAAAATCATGAACCAAGACGGAAGTAAAACGTAGTGCAGCCGGCAGTATCTTGTGCACTAGTAGAAGTGCAATTGTCGGAGCCATCTATTCAAACAACTCGAAGGCCAAGTTCAACGAGATCATTACATGCGGTTTCAAAATTTTCTGATCTTAGTCTTATTGATTTAAGAATTTATTGAATTAGCAGCATTAACTACGAGCAAAATGAAGAAAGGATACTCCTCAGCACTGACCTGGGTCTTGTTATTATGAAGGGATGGCTAGTTTTGTTGCGTTAGACCATTTGGCCCACATAATCTGTCCATCCATAGTCCTAAACTTATGCATAGCAAGCTTAAGGGACAATTAACAGGATACATAAAATTATGGTCTATATTGATGCCAAGTATTGGTAATATGCTATCGATGATAACTTACGTGACCGTATTTCAATACTGCGAAGCCATATAAAGTGAATCATTTTGAACGTGTTCTGGGCTACATTAAATCAATACTACTTAATTATCCTCTATGAGTGTCTCTTTAATATAGCTCATATCCCAAGTCCGATATCAACTTCTCTACTATTCCATTAAAGCTTATCCATAACCAAGTTTGCATCTCAACACATTACCATATTATATCGGATTTCTGATAACTTTCATCATTTCAGGGCTCAAGTTCTACTTCCATGACAGTCTATTCATAAAAATATAAAGCCCGAACTCGTTGTTATCACTTTGTTTTGTAAATGTACTCTAAACTATATTTCAACTAAAGCTACGTGTACAAAACTAAGCGATAACAACATAACTCACTTACAACAAATTTACCGACTAATATTCTATAAAAATATCTGAAGTATCTTATTTAAGCTGGAAATATTTTATCACCTAAGTCCAACCCAAAAGATAACACATATTCTCCAACAACTTTCTGCAAAAATATAGCAAAATAAGTGTAAACTCCTACTCAAAATTTACATCTTAAAAGTTTATTTCCTACGAATAGCATGTCCTGTCTTAGTTCGCTTGTTGCTGGTGGGAACAACAAACTACTAACACCCGTCGCGACGAGAACGCGCAGGACTATCGACGGGCGCCTCTCAAATATGAGAGACCTGTGTCTTAATCAGACCTAACACAGAAGGTCCTCTACACAGTACAAGTAAGCTGATCTAATAAGAGAGCCGCTACAACCTCTAGGTAAAGGCACGATGCAAGACAAAATGCGAATGGGGTCGCATATGTCTTGTACATCTAGCACAATGACCACGAGGAGTCATCAAGCCAGTGAGACTTTTCCCCTCGAGGTCTCTCACTCGAGAAGACTTTCGAGGGTAATTGGGTCCAGCCCGAAGTCTCAGCCGTGGAGCTCTTGGCTGAGAAGACGGACTGTGGAAATCCCCTGGGCCTGGACTAGGCTGACGTTCAGGGCTCGCGAAGCGAACCCTTTTCTTCGCCTTTGCGGCCTTCTTTGGTGGGGAGGACTGGGGACTTACCTGGGATTGATGACGATTACGTTGACATATTGCCTGTTCTGGCAAAGAAACACCTAGCAAGAGTTAGTCTTTGTTCCGAAGGCCTAGGTATTCGACGAAGAAATGAGAGATGGCAGGTGAAGATATT